CCCCAAAACCCCAAAACCCCAAAACCCCTGTGATAATTACTATGAGAATTAATTTGTGAAACTAACAATCAAAAGTTTTTTAGAATATATTCATTTATTGCAGGACTAACATCATTCTCACCTTATATCTATTAATCTTGGCTATTTATTGTATTTTGACTCTTTGAATTTTCTGATAGATTAGAATTATGGAGTAAATTATCCAATTTTTAATCTAAGCTATCGACTAACTCTAATCCATTTTAAATCTTTTCCTAGACTGCTTTAAAATATCTTCCAAATATCTTATCATTTTATATTGCAGTTATATCAGAAATGTGATGCTCAATAGCCTGAATCAGAATAGTTTTCTCAATTTCCTTGATAATTTCATGAGACTTAATTTCTCCTAAAATTGCTAATAAAACAGACTTAAACTATAAGTATCATTAATTACTGGGATAAAAATTACATTTTTGAAATATTTGATTTTAATCTCATTGAAATTCATTTCCTTCATTTGCAAGGCTTGCTAGAATGCCTCAAGAATCGAATCCCTATTTTCTTGGTTATTGAATATTAGAAGCATGAAAACAGATTGAACAAATTTAGTCTAGCAAAATATTGCTTCATTTTATCTGACTTGATTTCTTAGATTCTCCTATAAACTCATTTCAATTAAGTCAATGCTGTTAATCAAGTGTAGATTATTGATAGAATTCTGTTATAAAAAATTAAAATAATAATAATTTTACCTCTTCTTATCTTACTCCCTCTTCATTCCTAGAACCTTAATAAATCAGATAGTCAATAATTGCTTTTTTAGTCTACTAATAGTCATTGATGGCTTCATTGACCTTTTGAACAATTTAGGTGCATATCTTCACTCTTTTGCCATGCTCAAAGTGACTGACAATGAAGACATGATAGACCTCTTCTCTTAAATCTTTAGTTTAAGATTGATAAATTCTTACCTTTTACTAAACCACCTTATTTGACATCTAATTTTTCTAAATGCTCATTATCTTGAATGATTTTTGCTACTTCATTCAAAATATCTTCATAGGATTTTAGATGGTTTGTTAGTAGAGTTAAAAGAGTGTCTAGAAGCTAGGAATGTATTTTCTAGCAAGTTACAGAGAGTATTTTCTGCTTATTGCTTTTCTATTTTATTGATTCATCTAGTTGTTAAAGCACTTTGATAATGGATTTTACATTTTTAAAGAGATTTGAAGTAGTCGTCTGGCTATTAGCATTGTTAAAGCTTTTAAGCATTTATTGCTTGATTTAGTTTTACAAAGTCTCCAAGAAACTTTCAATTCTTTCTTAAAGAATCTTGTCAAAATCAGCTTAATCAAAAGTCAACTCAAAGGTAAGCGCTCTTACTAGGTTGCTGTTTGAGGAATTTTATATTTTTTCATTAATCCCTCTATTTTGGATATTATCCAATTGACTCAAAGTTACCTATATAAATTTTGCTCTTAATCTATGACTTTATGATTCTTAATTTTCTTTCTTGATAACTTTAACTGATAGGAATTGAAGAACTATGATGTAATCATTAATGAGTCTAAGTATTTAATCAAAATCTAGTTAGTTTTAATCTTAATTCTAGACATTAGCAATTGATCTTTGTAGCTTAAGATTCAAGATTTCAAAAGTCAGATGTACGATAAAACTATATAAACTATCCATTGATTCACTGTAAATGTGATCTTTAATGCTTATCTTAAAACTTCTTCTAATGAATTACATCAAATGCTGATATAACTAGCTATTTTTATAGAAGTAAACAACAGTAAAGAATAGAGATTCTAAAGTAAATTCAATAGATTATCTTCCTTCAATTTACTATACTTAATCTCCTTCATCAAGATATTTATTGACTACATCTATTAGGCCTATTCTAAGTAATCTTTACTCTAAATATCTTATTTTTTCTCTCAAATTATTATCCACTTAATTTTTTAGTTCACATTCGCTGAGCTAGCATATTAGGATCTGCAGCTGTTAATTTCCAGAGACCTAAATTGATTATTCTTCTTATGGAACCCTATGTTCGAGCTAGGTGTTTCTAGTATCAATATCCAAGATCTTTTATTAGATCTGTCCTAGATAGTCGAAGTTTAAGCTGTTCATAGTCTCATGCATCACAGATATGTTGGATTGTGCTTTATCACAGGCATCTATCATCTCTTGGAAGTTATCCTTGCATTAGAGTATATTATGATATTTCTTCCTAAAAATTATTATCATTTTAGAGTTTAATTTCTACACTTACATTAATATGTCCTTGAATCTTCTTCTGCCGTCTGCAAGTTCTTGACTATAATTAGACATTATTAGATATTGTAACTTAGATTAAACAATGCTTACTAAAAGTTTTTCAAGACATTGGAGACCTGAGCTGGTTCAATATTCTTGAAATACTAGCTTGCATCAATTTTGTAGTTATCCCCCATTTTAATAGTTATATCTTTAGCTATTTTAATTATTATCATCTCATGATAATTCACATCTTTTCTCATTTGGGGTTTTGGGGTTTTGGGGTTTTGGGG